CCCTCCCGCGCTAGCCTAAGGGCCACCTTAGCAAAGCGCATCCCAGGCTGCATAGCCGCACTACCCTACCCAACCATACCACACATAAACATGACACTACCCCCGGGGTTTACACAGACGAGCCGGCGAAGCAAGAAGAGCGCCAGAAGAAAGGGCCCTAGCCGGCGGGGCCCAGCCAGGACAAAAGGAGGTCCCACAAAGCGCCTACACCGGCCGCATTTGCGGTCGGGGTAGACGACGGATGGGGCCCACCTACGAAGGCTGTCCAGGCCTACACGAGATGAGGCAGGATAAAGAGGGATAATCCCCCTCGATCCCAAATCATTGAGGCCAATTTCTAGCCATGGAATAATGGCGCGGTTTTTCCAAATTCTACTATGCTATAATTTTTATTTATTTTTTTTTTTGAAAGGAGGGAGCAGAATTTGTTTTATTGTAATTAAATAATAGTTCATTTTAATTCATATATATTAGACGTGATTTATGTGTGATGTGTAACAATAAAACAAAAACAGAAAAAGCATTATTTTCAAACAAAAAGATTTGTGCTAACAAAAACAAATATAATATATTGCATAAATAACATGTAGGAACTTGCGATTACTTATAAAAATAACATATTAAAAAAAAAATTGAAAAGGGTGTCTACTAGATGCAAGTACTAACACTTAATAATTTATAATAAATAACGAATTAATAAGAACCAGGATTGTCATTTTTCAAAAATTAACTGTTAAAAGTAGATGAGTACATTTATCAATTTTCATTTATTTTATGTAAATCTATATTTTTAAGCGTACATATAGCGATCATCAAATTTTCATATGTTACACAGCATCCGTTAATACCATATGTAGGTATCCACCTTTAATCCTTACAAGGCTCAATGTAGTGGGTAAAATGCAAAATTTCTTTTCTTGATTTTTATGTCCACTATTAAACAATACTCTTTCAACGTCTATACTTCCATTCAGCAAAGTTAAAATAATAACAGCTACTTTCACAATATTTTGAAATAATTTTTCCGCAATGTAGTTTTCTATATCATAAATTTCACACCATATAAAATAAATTTTAATTAATAAATCATATCTATCTCACTAACATATATAGCCAGTTATTTAAATTATCCAAGAGATTGATCTAAATCATAAAAATTTTTTTTTAAACGCTATAGGTATTACACAATACACACGTCGCTGTAATTAATATTTTTGGTATTTAAAACATTTTGTGGAGAGACCAGAAATAATGGCTGACTGAAAAAATGTATAGGAAATATTATTGATTCATGAACAGTGGTTTGATAAAAAGCTAAACATTTTAATTTAAACTATTCATTTAATACTTTGCTAGTCTTTAAACAGTTCATCATTTGTGTTAAAACTTGCTCAATTGATACAAAGTGCATTAGGATCTTATACATTTAAATTATATATTCAAATTTTTCGCTCTCCAGTGATGTAACATTTATCAAAACTTTTTCTGATTGAAAAACATCATTATTATTATTATATTAAGAGAATAAAATTAAAAGATGTTAAAGTTATTTTACATAAGGGATTTGAAGTTTTTTAAATCTACTAAGACAGACCAATGATCAAACAACCGCTCAACAGTTAGTTTTAAAATTTTTGATTTATTGAAATACTGCTGCAAATCTTTGAGAATTGACCGTCTTTTTGGGTATCGTGAAGAATGAGAGAATTTTAGTCATCACTTAGGCAAATGAATACGAGTATTTGAATATCTAAATTTTTTAAACTTTAAAAACTTATTTCTCAGAAACCACCAGTTTACTCCTTGGCTCATTAACGCTTTTTGGTGTAAAATGACCCAACTAACCTATTTTAATTATAAAAATTAGTATGCTGGGATAGTCTTTTTTATAACGAAAGTAGGTAACTTTTTTAAATAAACTTGCCTGCTCATAAATAGCAGTAACTTACGGCTTGAATAAATTATGATCAAATCTTATAATGTTAGATATAGGTATTCCTTCAAGAAAAATAAATATTGTTTCAAGATAAAATTTTTGTTGATAACATTTCATATATTTTGTATGTGCATTTAAAAATGTTATTTTATGGGATTGAACAAATTTTCTGACAAAACTGTCGGTAGGAATTGGTCACAACTTTTGGAAAGCTTGATGTAGATTAAAAATTATATATTATATATAGTTACACTACATACTGAATTTGTTTTAAAAAAGTACCCTACGGAATATATGAATTAAACGTTAGGGATTAGTAAATAATATTATATCATCTTTTTATCATTCATTTAAATAGATTAATAAAAACATTCATTTTAAGAATTGTATATGATGATTTGCTTATATAATTTTACTATAAATAAATAAATCTTTAATGTAACACAATTTAAATATGTTAAAAACCGCTACCTAGAACAACTAACGTCAACTTTTTACAGGACTTAATTCATGACTAGGTAAAGATTCTTTGCCATATCTTCTTTTAGCTTCATTGATAAAAGCTTTTTCCATTTGATGTACCAATCTGTCGAAGAACATTGAAGCCAGTTGTGAATGGAAGGCCGATTTAAATTCAAATTTGATATAAAAATCTATTATGCAAGACTTTGGGTTACTCTGTAGTCCAGGGCTAAATCTCCAAGTTGTTTCTAAGAAGTTAAATAGTCTACCATCTTTACATATAGCACGAACCAAATTAGGTCTGTTCAGAGTCACTGTTGATGTATAATTTTCAACAATAGGTGGGAAACCTATCTCTAGGTTAGCTTTAATTTCCTTTGGTTGTCGTTCCAAGATTATAGATTTAGTGCAGAATGGTAAAAACTGTTTATAGTGTCTTACATCAGCTACAACAAGATACATTTCATCATTGGAAAAGCTGAAATTTTAATTACAATTTACCATATAAATACGCATTTATTGTATTGTGGGTTCCTACCCTACAAGTTTTCTAGCAATGTATTCCTTTTTCATTTCTGGAATTTTAAAAAAATGGAAACATCTAACAGAAAACTTAAATGTTTGCATAGCTGTTTCTAAAATGTGAGAAATGTACCAAATGTTTTCATAATTTACTGGGAAATTCTCCGACTTTGCAGTCTACTTAACATTAAAACAAAAATTTTGATTTCTTTCATTTTATTTTAACTTTTTTGACACTTTTGACAGATAAAGAATTTTTTATTTTAGACCACACACACACACTGACCTATTAGAATATAGACTGCAAGAGACTCCTTTAAAAAATTCAGCAAAATTACTCGTGCGCGGGCAGCATTTGATTCTGCGTAATTAATTACAAATACAAATTATTGTACAGCGAAAGATAGTTTCCATCAGCGAAAGCATTACGTCGTTGTGCCTTCAAAATGCGACGTATATTTTATCAAATTATTCAGTGGAGTTAAAATACTGTTTTTTGACCTTTTTTATTTAAAATTTTTAATTTTACCGTGAACAGTCACAAATCTGCAGAAAATAAGATTGCTATTTTTAACCAGATTATGCGGTTTGATGTCATTTAACGAATTAAACACGCGTTTTGCTGAAAACATGCACATGTCGCATTTTGAATGAGCAACCGCGCCGCGCCATTATTCCATGGCTACGCGCCATTATTCCATGGCTAGAAATTGGCCTCAATGATTTGGGATCGAGGGGGATTATCCCTCTT